TATTTCAAAAATTATCAACAATATTAATTTAAAAAGAAATCATATTCAATTTCTTAAAGAAGAAATTCAATTTCAAAAAATGGAAAAAAGATTACAAGAATTTTCTTGTCAAAAGAAAATTTCAGAATTACAAAATAAAATTGAAAAAAAAAATTTGTTCAATTATTCCAAATGCCTTCTGGGATAGAAAGAAATATGTTGTTTCTCTTCCTTACAATTCTGATTTTCATGAATCAAATATTTCTATAAAATCTCGTCCTATTCAAATGAACAAAGAGTTACTTGATTTTTGTATCAAAAAAATCAATGATTTACTTGAGAAATGTTTGATTCGACCAAGTAAATCTCCATGGAGCTGTTCAGTTTTCTACGTCAATAATTCTGTTGAAATTGAACGTGGAGTTCCTCGTTTGGTTATTAATTATAAACCTCTTAATACTACTCTTCTATGGATTAGATATCCTATTCCTCAAAAGAAAGATCTTTTCAATTGTCTTTGTAAAGCTGTAATCTTTTTAAAATTTGATATAAAATCAGGTTTCTGGTAAATTCAAATTAAAGAAGAAGACAGATACAAGACTGCCTTCAATGTTCCTTTTGGACAATATGAATGGAATGTTACGCCATTCGGTCTCAAAAATACTCCCTCTGAATTTGAAAAAATTATAAATGATATTTTCAATCATTTTTCAAATTTCATTATTATTTATATTGATGATATTCTTATATTTTCTGAAAATATAGAATAACATTTTAAACATATTCATAAATTCATTCATGTTACTAAAAAAATGGTTTAGCAGTTTCTGCCAAGAATATTGTTTTATTTCAAATTAAAATTCGTTTTCTTGGTCATTATATTCATAATGACACTTTAACTCTTATTCAAAGAAGTCTTGATTTCATTGACAAATTTCCTGATGAAATCATAGATAAAACAAGTTTGCAACGTCTTTATGTTGTGTCAATTATGTTGTCGATTTTGTTAAAAATATACGTCAAATCTGTGTCCCATATA